TTATTGGTCTTATGAAGTATTCTAATTGGTTGAGATAGTACATTGGTTGGTTTTTGTTAAATTGGCGCCAAAATCATCACAATTAAAAGAACCAAAGACTTAAACTACTTCAGTCATTCTAATTTTTTGAGATGCACCTGTATTTATTCCCAAAACTTTATTAAGCTTTAAAGGGGTCATATGATGCGATTTCAAGTTTTCCTTTCTCTTTGGAGTGTTACAAGCTGATTGTGCATATATAAGATCCCTGAAGTTGCAAAGACTAAAGTCTCAAATCCAAAATCAGCTGGCCAATCAGAGCAGACTGTGCTTGTCGGAAGGAGGGACTTTGTAGAAAAGAAGTGTTTGAGAGAGGCGGGGCATAGAGGAACTACAATAATGTACAGTATTTGAAAAATAATGTGTTTTTTGAACATTAAAGCATGTCAACATATTCTGTTACACCAAATACACAAAATAATGATCTTTAAAAAAAAAGCATCATATGACCCCTTTAAGTCACATCTCAAATGACAAGGGATCAACTTACAGTATAATCATGTTTATATTAATTAGCCCGTGAACTCATTCTCTCAGACAGCCTGGGTATGCGGCGCATTCGCAGCTTATATGGACGGAATATATATATCTGTCCTGCTCATGTCCGCAGCCCTGTCAACTGATATGAAACAATTATCTGGGAAAATTATAATTAAACATGACTTAGTTACTACATTTCAATACAAAATAACTTTGTACGGTTTCTGTTTTAATGTATTTTTAAAGTTTAGATCACATTAGCAGTGTAATTTGTACGTTAGTAAATAATTTTCACCAAAGATCCAGTCTCGTCACCGTCACTCACAGCCGCTTGTATGTCTTTTATGCATAAGCCGCACGCAGCCCAAAATTAAATTGCTTAATCGACCATCGATGGCTTTAATCGGTTGCATCTCTTATTGACAATTAATCGATTGTCGATTAATTGTTGCCATCCATAAGCTGTAGGAATTAATTGTATGTATAAATCTGTCCTGCTCATGTCCGCAGCCCTGTCAAAGTGCAGAACCTGATATGAAACAATTATCTGGGGAAATTATAATTAAGTTACTAAGTTACTACATTTAAATACAAATTACCTTCGTGTTGTTTCTATTTTAATGTACTTTTAAAGTTTGGATCACATTAGAAGCGTAATTTGTACGTTAGTAAATTATTTTAGCCAAAGACATCACTAACTTGTCTCCCCGAGTTACCATCTTCCGCCATTTTGGAGAGTACCACGACGCATGTACGTGCTTTCCCCAGAATGTAATCAACGTAATCAGCATTGTTTGCGTTCAGCATGCGTGCAATTTCTCGTTATTCTACGTTATGTTCTGGTGAAAACGCGGACATGCGTTGTGGTCCTCTCCAAAATGGCTGAAGATGGTAACTCGGGGAGAAGAATTGTTAAATAAATTGTTATTTTTGTTTTCTTTGCACACAAAAAGTGTTCTCGTAGCTTTGCATAATTGAAGTTGAGCCACTGATGTCACATGGACCATTTTACCGATGTCATTGCTATGTTTCTGGGACTGGGAATATTGCAGTTGCGTTGCTGTCTATGCAGGATCTGAGAGCTCTCACATTTCATCAAAAATATCTTAATTTGTGTTCTGAAGACGAATGAAGGTCTTACAGGTTTGGAACAACATGAGGGTGAGTAATTAAACGCGATGAGAGATGGCGCTGGTGGAGGATTGAATGCAACGCTGTCAGATTACCCCATGTCTCATCACCGGTGAGAAAACATTACAGTACAAAATGTGTAGTAGTACAATAATAGCGAGATTTTAGAAGAGACTTTCAAACAGCATAACAAAAAATGTTTTTGAACCAAATCAACTACACTGCCTTTAAAAAGTTGGGTCTGAGAGACTTTTGTTTATTTGATGGGAATTTCACATTTCTTTTTTGTATGAAGTCTAAATACAAATAAAAGGTGAACCTTAATTTATCTGTACCATTTTTATTTAGAAAGTATTAGCCTATATTGTTTAATAGGAGGAAGTTACATAAACTTGGCAAATAATTTTTCAAAAGTTTGTTGGTACAGACATCCGTTGTAGGTGTTCTTGGCAGTCTTTTCATGAGACCCATCTAAATTTCCACAAATCACATGCATTTTAAAGAGATCACACACCTGACAGTTATGGTGTTACGGTAGCTCGGCAGCAGTTTTTCCATGTTAAGAAAGCGTGTGATTTCCTCCAAGATCAGGCGAACATCTGTGTTTAAGTTGTCCACTGTGCGCACCTCGTTATTAATGCTGATGGCAGGAGTCAGTGAATTTGTCAGGGCATCAATCAGCTCAGCACGATAGTAATTATCAGAAAACTGCAGTAGAAAAAACAAAATTACAACAGTTCTGTGATGTAACCTCTGACAAGTAATTTATGTAAATAAAGACAGCAATTAAAAAAAAAAAAAAAAAAAAAGAGCTTTCAGGTTTAGATCAATTGGGACACTTGTAGCATGTAGCCTTCTACCTTTCATCAAAATGCTCATTTCTTTATTACAAACCAATTTTCTTTGCTCTATTACCTTGTTCTTCCGGTTGTCATTGTATTTGATGAGGTCCAGCATAAAGTTGAGGACCTCTTTGGGACAAAGGTTCTGAACATCTCTGAGTAGAGCCATGGCCACAGGCATAGTCTACATAAAAAGAATAGTCAAGTCTTCGTTAGTGTCATTCTAGCAACAAAGTTGTGGTGCAAAAGATTGACAATAGTGTTCAGCCCTCTTCCTTGAAATGGAAGTAGGTGTCAGAGATAGCAATAGAGTAAAAAGTTTGCGGAAGATGCGAGTTGGATCTTTGGTGGTGATGCTGTGGGCTTTGTTCAAACAGTGTTAATGCCAAATGCCTGATATGGCAGGGAATAAGTTTCCAATAATTCTCTAGCACACAATAAGAATGATAAGAATTCAAAGAAGTATAAGAACAGTTCTTATTCTTAATTACTTAATGTGACCTAATGACTAACAACAATTGTTATTTAACATTCAGGCACCAGAGTAGTGCTCATTGTGGGACCTCTACGGCACCTTTACATGCCGGGCCGATATCTAGCATCTCTAATGTGGAGGAGCTTGCTTGTCTTACATATTTCATTTCTGACATGAATCACTGGGTCCTGTCTTACGGTCCAACGGTTGTCCATAATACTTTTTGTTGAAGATAAAAATGAACTTCTAATCTAACTAGGCTATAATTAAAATCTTAAATTATCCAAATATAAAAAAGGTATTACCTTTTGCAGGAAGTAGCTCTGAAAATTGATGAAGTTGTTGGTCTTGACAATATTCGGGCAGCTTTTGCAGCAGAACATGCGTGTAAAAAGAGACTTCATGGCTGGGGGGCCAGTCCAGGTGCTCATCATGGAATTGGCAATCTAACACAGGTCAACACAGTTAATGCCTCCCAAAAAAGCAAGCAATATAATTTCAAACAGTATGGAAACTCAACTGCTAATTCAAATGCATGAATAAACAATATAGTGTTATAGGTGATGTAGATGATTAACTGACATTCACAATAATGTCATTAGTCATAAGTGACCTTAATAATGTCAAATTACCACATTGCCATTTTTGTTTTGCTTTAGTTTAAAAAAAAAAAAAAAGCTACTTCAATTACTGTCATGGTAAAATAATAAAAAATACAACGTTTAAAAAAATAGAGAGGATGAAGTTTTGTTTCACTTGAAGAAAATCTCAATACAAAACATGATGTACTACACTTTTTTTACACTTCTTGTCACTTGTTTTTCTGTGGTAATTTAGGCCTACATCACTTGATAACTACAGTCTGTGTTTTTGCAATACGATAACCTGTATTTGGGACAACATATTGAGATTAACAAACATTTAAAAAAAAATTGAAAACATGGTCAACTGGCAAAGCACAACTCTGAAGAAAGAGGTGTTGTTTATCATTTATCAGAGTTGAGGAAAATACACAACAATCCAAAAGGTTTCCAAATCCAAAACTAAAGTAAAACAGTAAAATTGTGAAATAATATTAGAATTCAAAATTCCCTGTTTAAACAAATATTTTAAAATATAATATATTCCTGTCTGTAATGGCAAAGCTGAAATATAGCAGCAATTACGTCATAGCGTCATACGATTCTTTAGAAATCATTATAATATGCTGATGAGGTGCTGAAGAAGCATGTGTATGAGATACATTACCATCTTACTGCTAATTTAACTAATTATGCTACATATTTAGTATATAAGGTAGCATGTTTTACCTTTGCCAGACAAAAGCAGGCCTGCATGCGGACTTTATAAAAGCACTGGTCTTGTTCTAAAATATCAGTGAGAGCAAGTCGCGAGGCCGGTGTGGGAAATATTTCCAGCGCTGAGATAGCCTCCTCCTGGGCCACCACATCCCTCTCAAACCGCAACTGGTACTGCCACATGAAATCGGCCTGTTCAAACTCCACCTTTCGTAGTATGGACATGTCCGGATCAATTCGAATCCACAACAGAGGAGAGTCAGCACTGTGACATTACAACAGAAGAAAAGGGTTCATTGTAGGTGCAATGTTAAAATTAATCAAGCTCGCCATGATTTTGACTAAAGAAACTCGGAAGGACCTTCCTAAAGCCTAGAAAGACCATGGATTTTAAATTCTGACTGGATATTATAAAAAATTTAAAATAAAATGGAGACTGGTCTGAAAGCATAAAAGGTAGATTCCACATTAAAGGGGTCATATGATGCGATTTAAATTTTTCCTTTCTCTTTGGAGTGTTACAAGCTCTTGTTGGTGCATAAAGAAGATCTGTAAAGTTGCAAAGACTAAAGTCTCAAATCCAAAGAGATATTCTTTATAAAATTAAGAGTCAACCACGCCTACCTAAAATGGCTCGTTCTAACACGCCCCCACATGTCTACGTCACGATGTGGGAAGATTTGCATAACTCCGCCCAAATGTTCACGCAAAGAAAGGCATAACTTATATTCTCGCTGTAGTATTGTTGTTGTCGCCATGTCGTGAAGGCGCTGTGTAAAGCGAAACTACTTTGTTTGGCCTTCCAAAAGAGGATATCATCCGCTTCGTCATGCCTGGAGCTGATCCGTGCTGGTCGCTGAGGAAATACATCAACTTCGCGCTGTGGATCGCCGGATCGGCTTTCACCATGGACGAAGTGGAGTCCAGCCTGGGGTCGTCACATGTGGTTGCCGCAAGCCCTGCGGACGCTCCGTCGAATCCGCGCCGTTCTCAAGCCCGCCCACCGCCGCTCACTCAAGCCGGCCTCCACTCACTCTAGCCCGCCGTGTGTTGAAAGAGAAAATACTTTGTTTGGCCTTCCAAAAGAGGACACGACTAGAAATCTGTGGTTAAGTTGTATTTACAACATTGTTCCAGAACAGTTCAACCCAAATATTCAGATGGGTCCAGCGCATTTTATGGAGGACTGTTTCCTGATCCTGGGAGAGTAGACTACATATGCACCTCTCCCAAGGTTTTTTCTCCATTCTGTCACCGATGGAGTTTTGGTTCCTTGCCGCTGTCGCCTCTGGCTTGCTTAGTTGGGGACACTTCATTTCCAGCGATATCGTTGACATGATTGCAAAGATATTATTTAAACTGAACTGAGCTGGATGTTGACATCACTGAATTCAATGATGAACTGTCTTTAACTGAAAAATGAGTGTTTACTATTGTCATTTTGCATTATTGACACTATTTTCCTAATTAATGCTGTTCAGTTGCTTTGTCACAATCTGTATTGTTAAAAGCGCTATATAAATAAAGGTGACTTGACTTGACTTGACTACAACGCCGGCTGTTCTGACTCACAGACTGCAAGTACGTTTTTTTTATATTTAAAGAATTTGCCACTGACAACTCAAACGCGAGTTTTGAGCAGTGTAGAGTAGCACTTGTTGTTTGTCATTTCTCCAGTCACAAATGCAGACATGGTTTTATGTTTACGCGGCGCGATGCAACGCGTAAAAAGACAGTACAAGTCATTATAATCCGTAATTATGTCCCCACTGGATGCAACAAATGCCTCGTTTATAATGGGTTTTAATGTTTTTGTCTCGTCGCTCCGGCCGGACAGGGCATCACAATATGGTAAGGGGCGTAACATTTCCGTCACACGCTTGAGGTATTCGGCCAATCACAACGCCCTGGATAGCTGGCAATCAGAGCACACCTCGCTTTTCAGACAGATGAGCGTTATAAAAATCTATGCATTTCAGAAAGGCATGGCATAGAGAAACAATGTACAGTATGTGGAAAATAATGCGCTTTTTGAACCTTAAACCGCATAAACATTTCATTACACCAAATACACAAAATAATGTTCTTTTTTGCAACATCATATGACCCCCTTTAACCTGCTTAACCATTGGTAAATTGGAAATTGGCAACAACGATTTCTACCATGTAACATTGCGATGGACGATGGGGGCGTGGTTGGGGGATAGAAGGGCAGGGTTGGGGGTGTGCCCGAAGCGTGAATCCGTATTCAGAAAAGCACGGAAAACAAACAACGCATTCTATGGAGCCACTAAAGGGACATGGTAAGCTGCTTGCTAGCGGTATTCCGTTACATGACAGTACATAAAATTTTGTTTGTAAATTTTCTACTTTACTACATAAAGAGAGTAAGAAGAGATGACCGAGGACAATGGCCCCAACACAAACAGAACGTTCCGCTAACGTTACTATAAGGTTCCCATTTGGTTATTTTTTTGTGAACCAAATAAGAACGTTCTAGGAACGTTCCCTGTAGGTTCTCTTTTAAAGGGGTCATATGATGCTTTTTTAAAGATCATTATTTTGTGTATTTGGTGTAACAGAATTAAAGGGAACGTTCCCTGCAAGTTATTTTTAGGTTTAATTTTATAACCTACAGCGGAATGTTTTTTAACTAAAACATTTTTTTAACTAAAAATTTAGTGTTTACTATTGTCATTTTGCATCATTGCATTATTGACACACTATTTTCCTATTTAATGCTGTAAAGTTGCTTTGACACAATCTGTATTGTTAAAAAAGTGCTATATAAATAAAGGTGACTTGACTATTTCCCTGCATTTATGACGTGAATCCCTCGCTGCTGACAGAGAGAGATAAACTATACATGTGGCAAGCGGTGCAAACAACAATAGCAGGAGAAGAAGCCATTACTCACCGTGATTGATGAATGATTCTGACTTACCACTGTGGTATGATGAACGTGTGAAAAACGGCGCGCGAGAGAAAAGAAAACGGTAATAGATGCGAATAGAAACGCGAATGGAAACGTGAATGACAAGCTAACGCGCTGTACCTATTGAGAGTATATATTGTGATTTCAGAGAGATTTGACACGTCTACTTGAAGAGAACATGTTAACCGAGAGGTTTTTCTTTTTTTTTTTACTGACCAAAAGAGAGAAGCACATCATCGTTAATACAGTAGTAAGAAATGAATGTAATGTTATCCTACTTAACTCTTTCCCCGCCATTGACGAGTTATCTCGTCTTTTACAAGAAAACGCTTCCCCGCCAAAGACGAGTTTTTACAGCATTTCGTGTTTTCACTGTTATACACTCGGGGGCGCTATTACGCATCTTCTAAACGAATACAAAACCTCTCGAACAAAAACACACGTGAACAGGATGGAGAAACTAGCAATCTCTTATGTAAATAGATGCATATGAAAATAATGCGATCATCAGCAATAGACAGCATATAAATGAAAACTGCATAATGTTACAGAACAAGATGTTGATCCAGGAAGTGGTATATGTCTGTGCAAGCTTTGGAGGTATTGATGGAAGCCATTTACTGGATTTATGCTTTGATAATCGTACTGAATATTATCCAGATGTAGTCTTTGATAAAAATTTGATTTTCTCACCTTTTTGCTCAAAATTATGCATTTTTTACAAAACCTATATTCAAGTGTTGATAAAAAAAAAAGAATGCTTTAAGCTAGAATAAAACTGATTTTTTTTGTTTAAAAGTAGAGCCTCTGATCTTTATTTTGGAGTATTGCAAATTCAAATATTCATACAGCAAAATATACTGGAGTCCATCCAATTTTAGTGGCAAATCATCAAAATCACTGGCGGTGGCTGGCAACTTTTTTCAAAAATGCTGGCGGGGAAAGAGTTAGTCAAATAAATGTTATTCATTTTTAATGTCTGGAAAAATTAAATTCACATTTTTAAAAACCAATATTTTGTTGAAGTCATTGTTGGTGCTTAAGAAGCGTAAAATCTGGATTATTATATGGTACATGGTAGTTAAGGTTTATCAAAAAAAAAAAAAAAAAAACGGAAAAAAGAATATATACCCCCACTTTATTGGTATTTAAATATTATATGTTTATGTTGAACTTTATTTATGAACAGAAGGCGCTGTATTAACCAGTATATAAATAGTGTTTCTGTTGCTCATGAAAACGTTTCTGAAAAGTCTGTGTATTTGACAAATATTGCATTTAATTCACTTAATCTGTGATAGAGTATGCAAACACCACGAGATCCTCACTAACAGGAACAGAAAGTGTCCGACTTGACGCCTCCGCTTTTAATTCCGCCCCAACTGCAAGTGGTTACTCTCGCCAGCCGGTGGCAGGCTAGTATAAGTTCATCTCGAATAAGCCTGGTATTAGGTGTGCTCGAGTGCTCGACTCGCTGCGCAGACCAGTCATTGTATGACATCAAAGTACCGCGAGAGCCATAAGAGAGCAGACAGCTCCTTAGCTCCTTATATCACTCTTATGGTACTTTGATGTCATACACTGATTGTTCTGCGCAGCACCGCTTCAAGTTGAACACACCTATTGGAATGCAGGCGGATTGTGGGAGAGGGGGTAGGGGGAAGGAATCACGATGCCAGCTCAACATCGTGATGTCTGTCAGCCAACGGCATCGTTTATCGGGCCAACCCTACTACCTAAGTCTAAGGTATATAAATTAAATCACAAAAATTTTTTTACGGGGTTTTACACATTTGTTCACTACAATAGAATTCCCAGTCATGTTGTCATTTTAAAAAACACACACAAAATAACACATAAAGAGGACAGTCATAGTGTATTATGAGAAAGGGTCAAAGGGAATCAGCCATGGTGGTTTGTTTTATAAACAGCTAGTGATTAGAGGAACACACCTGAATAAAGAAATACAACAGAAGATACTCGTCTTACCCACTCTTGATATTGATATACATATACGTGCAGTTCAGCTGCACACTACAAATGTGAGTGTGAAAACACAAAGAGCGCATACTGTTTACCCTCTATGTAGCTTCTGTGCTGCTTTAACTGTTTAAGCATCCAGTCTGAAATGGGCATCAAGAACAAAATAGAATGTCCAAAAACTAAGTGCATGTGTACATGCAGCAAGAAGTCAGAGTGCTGTACCACTGAATAAACAGGAAATAGTCTACAGAACAAGATGTTGATCCAGGAAGTGGAATATGTCTGTGCAAGCTTTGGAGGTATTGATGGAAGCCATTTACTGGATTTATGCTTTGATAATCGTACTGAATATTATCCAGATGTAGTCTTTGATAAAAATTTGATTTTCTCACCTTTTTGCTCAAAATTATGCATTTTTTACAAAACCTATATTCAAGTGTTGATAAAAAAAAAAGAATGCTTTAAGCTAGAATAAAACTGATTTTTTTTGTTTAAAAGTAGAGCCTCTGATCTTTATTTTGGAGTATTGCAAATTCAAATATTCATACAGCAAAATATACTGGAGTCCATCCAATTTTAGTGGCAAATCATCAAAATCACTGGCGGTGGCTGGCAACTTTTTTCAAAAATGCTGGCGGGGAAAGAGTTAGTCAAATAAATGTTATTCATTTTTAATGTCTGGAAAAATTAAATTCACATTTTTAAAACCCAATATTTTGTTGAAGTCATTGTTGGTGCTTAAGAAGCGTAAAATCTGGATTATTATATGGTACATGGTAGTTAAGGTTTATCAAAAAAAAAAAAAAAAAAACGGATAAAAGCATATATACCCCCACTTTATTGGTATTTAAATATTATATGTTTATGTTGAACTTTATTTATGAACAGAAGGCGCTGTATTAACCAGTATATAAATAGTGTTTCTGTTGCTCATGAAAACGTTTCTGAAAAGTCTGTGTATTTGACAAATATTGCATTTAATTCACTTAATCTGTGATAGAGTATGCAAACACCACGAGATCCTCACTAACAGGAACAGAAAGTGTCCGACTTGACGCCTCCGCTTTTAATTCCGCCCCAACTGCAAGTGGTTACTCTCGCCAGCCGGTGGCAGGCTAGTATAAGTTCATCTCGAATAAGCCTGGTATTAGGTGTGCTCGACTTGAAGCGGCGCTGCGCAGACCAGTCATTGTATGACATCAAAGTACCGCGAGAGCCATAAGAGAGCAGACAGCTCCTTATGCTTTCGAATCACTCTTATGGTACTTTGATGTCATACACTGATTGTTCTGCGCAGCACCGCTTCAAGTTGAACACACCTATTGGAATGCAGGCGGATTGTGGGAGAGGGGGTAGGGGGAAGGAATCACGATGCCAGCTCAACATCGTGATGTCTGTCAGCCAACGGCATCGTTTATCGGGCCAACCCTACTACCTAAGTCTAAGGTATATAAATTAAATCACAAAAATTTTTTTACGGGGTTTTACACATTTGTTCACTACAATAGAATTCCCAGTCATGTTGTCATTTTAAAAAACACACACAAAATAACACATAAAGAGGACAGTCATAGTGTATTATGAGAAAGGGTCAAAGGGAATCAGCCATGGTGGTTTGTTTTATAAACAGCTAGTGATTAGAGGAACACACCTGAATAAAGAAATACAACAGAAGATACTCGTCTTACCCACTCTTGATATTGATATACATATACGTGCAGTTCAGCTGCACACTACAAATGTGAGTGTGAAAACACAAAGAGCGCATACTGTTTACCCTCTATGTAGCTTCTGTGCTGCTTTAACTGTTTAAGCATCCAGTCTGAAATGGGCATCAAGAACAAAATAGAATGTCCAAAAACTAAGTGCATGTGTACATGCAGCAAGAAGTCAGAGTGCTGTACCACTGAATAAACAGGAAATAGTCTAAAGATGGTCAGATGAAACAAATTAATATCAAAGAAGAAAGGGGCAGATAACATAAGAGGACCAGTGAGAAATAACCTCGGTCTCTTGTTTGTTCAAAATATTAATATAGTGTGCATGTTTAACAGGGAGATATACTGCTGAAACAATTACAGCTATTGGACAAAATATGCTCAAAAGGCATTAATCTTAAATGTTACTCAAATGTACCTGAATTCCTAAGTATTACACACTTAAAAATGGGAACATTCACTGATTTGTATGTGATAAATTCATAAAATATAAAAACAGCTTACTCCATGGCTGACAAGTCCATGTCAACTTCCTCTCCATTCATCAGAGGGATTTTCTTCTTCTTGTTCCTGGCAGAGAAAGAATAGTTTGTTTGTTTGGGTTTAACGCCATGCCAGCTTCTGTGGCTATTTTCATAGCAAGAAAAATTTATTAAAAATTATATTAGGTTTAGGGCTGCAACAAATAAACAATAAAATCGATAATGAAAATCATCGACAACAAATGTCATTATTGATTAATCGCATCTGCCCACCATGCACGCAAAACATCCTCCTGTCATGCCAAATTTTACCACTGAATAACGCATTTCTATAGTCCAAATGAATATAAATGAATCTAATAGTGGAAGAGAAAGAGTGAGTTGCTTCGGGAAAGGTGCATGATCCAAGCTGCCCAAAACATGCGAATGCTTTAAACTTCAAGCTAATGCACAAGCATAATGTTTAACATGGCTCGTCCCGTCAAGCGTTTTGACAGATGTGTGTGTTTAATGTGTGATATGATTCCTCAGCGCAAAACTTTCATTTTAGGTTGTGTAATCTGTAAAAGTGTTTCTATTTTGCATGAAGGCTCGTCCTGACAGTCTGCGTTAAACTTCAGAATTTACTGAACGAGCGGCAGCGCTTCAAACAAACTGAAGGCAGTAGAGAGGGAAAAAATTTATATGCAGCACAAAAATATTAATTTAGCTGAAATATCTGTTATTGGATATTAAATTTAGGTTTAAAAGTCAACATGTAATTCAAGCATTTTATAATAGTAACTGTAAAGAGATAACAGCATGTAACTGAATATAAAGTCGTTCCTTACATTTACAGAATAAAGAAATGACAGTAACAGGTTAACACATTCAGAGTGAATGTGTGTGTCCATGCAAAACATTCCTCTCATCTGTTAACACTAAGTTTGTGTTTTTCTTTATGATCTTCATTATAACCTCCATTTTTAGGCCCCGTTTACACTTGGTATTAAGATGCGTTTTGGTCGATCGGATCACAAGTGGACCACGGAGACACACATCCGTTTACACCTGGCATTTTAATCCGTCTCTACTGTCCACTTTTGACCATTTCTGGCCAGATTACACTCCTGTGGTGCTGATTATGTCAAGAGAAGGGTAAATGGTCGAATCCCTCTGTCGGCGTCAAAACACGAGCGGAAGGGCTAAAGTTATCATGCACTAATATTATGTCTACTTGTACTTGCCTGCTGTTGTTTCTTTTTCGTGTTATCAGAAAATAATACTTCTGATTCGGCCCATCAAAGTTTAAATCCTGTCTGATAAGTGTGCGTCCTTGTATGTCTCGCAATGATTACACGTGTATTAGGTCAGTAGGCAGAGAGTAGGCGGTCTTTTGTGGCTGCTCGAATGCATTCGACCACATCAGCGCCTACACCACGAAAGCAATCCGGTCGAATGCGTTTTCGACTACCTCTGGAAGTGGTCGAAAGTGGACAAGCTCAAAACGTTATTTAGCGTTGTCCACTTGTGATCCGATTGACCAAAACGCATCTTAATATCAAGTGTAAACAGGGCCTTAGTGTAGGGATTTAAACTGACCTTTGCCCATCTATTTATACTCTCCATTTGTGACCTGTGCTGGCAAAATGAGTCACAATGAGCAAATTTTCAAAAATGAGTTATTTTTATTTCCAAATTCTACAATAAAAGACATTTAAAATGATATATGATTTGTTGGAATCAGCAAAGTCAGTTCTGAGAAAACTCAAGTGGAAGTTTACTGAAGGTTCCAAAGCAAAATCACCTAGTTTCCTTCACTTCCTTTCTTAATATTAATTACAGGATTTTAATTAATTAATTAATTACTTTGCCATTACAAATAAGAACAGATGCAAACACAAAAACAAACAGTAGAACAAATGAAAGAAACCGGCCTAGCGCATTACTTTTTTCATTTTATATCTAAACAAAAGCATTCAAGTAAAACAATGGAAAACAATTAATCAATTAACTGAAAAACAATTAATCAAATGTAAATATCACTTCAGCGTGTTCATTACAAATAAATTATTAAAACTACAAAAGCAGTTCAATCAAGAGCAGCGATCATTTCCTTTATTGTTTGATTAACATAAGACAGACGGCCTATATAGTAAGTCCTACTGTACTGCACGGATCTAATATAATGTTACACATCAGGTCCCGTATTCACAAAACATTTTATCTTACCACTAAGAGTTCTCCTAAATAGCAGTAAAAGTTTTTAGCTAACAGTTTTTCTTAAAACCTACTCACAAAGCTGCTGAGAAAAACTTTTACTAAGGAATAGAGAGAAGTCTTAAGCTAAGAGTAAGGGCGGGGTTGACCTCGTTGCTATGGATGATGTCAGCATGCTTAATAATTATGCACACAGTGATTGGCTGATAGTCTCTGTCAGAGATTTATTCATGGAAATATTGTAGAGCACAATATTGTGTTGCCGTATTCAAATAAAGGTTTAAAAATAAAAAAAGTTAATTGCCACATTCAAATAAAATTTTTAAAATGCAGGATAAGAGTCACTAATTAAACAAGTATATGTTCAGCTTATTGTCAGCCTCTTACATGTATGCTTCTCAAAAACAATTAGCGGATATGCATATAAACAGCCTTTTAATTACAACCCCAATTCCAGAGAAGTTGGGACATTCTGTAAAATGCAATAAAATCAGGAATCTGTGATTTGTTAACTCTTTAACTTTTATTTACTTGACAAAAGTACAAGAAAAGATTTTCTAAGTTTTCGCTGACCAACGTAAAGGTATTTTGTAAATATGAACGAATTTTGATTTTGATGGCTGCAACACACTCCAAAAAAGTTGGGACAGAGGCATGTTGAACACAGTGTCACATCAACGGTCCTTTTAATTACAATGTTTCATTGTTTAGGAATTGAGGATACTAATTGTTAAAGTTCTGCAAGCAACATTTTTGTCCAATCTCGCTTGATACAAGACTGTCAATTGTTGTTGTTTGATTCTCCTTTTCATGATGAGCCATACATTTTCAATAGGAGACAGATCTGCTGGCCAGTCTAGCACATTCACTCGGTCTACGAAACCATGCTGTTGTAGCACATGCAGAATGAGAGCTGGGATTGTCTTGATCTAATAACCATGGACTTCCCATGAAAGACATCATCTTGATGGCAGTATATGTCTCTGTACAATCCCAATATATGCCTCCATGTCAATAATATCTTTGCACATATGCTGTTTGCTCAGCTGCACTCACATGTTTGCTTTTGCTTCTGTCGCTAATGAAAGTCTGGATTGTCACTTTAACCTTTGGGACCGAGAACTCGAAATCCACTTTTCCTGGAAACAAGTTGAAATGTGCACTCATCTGAGTACAGCACACATTTTCACTGTCTTTTTGACTATCTAAGATGAGTTCTGGCCCAGAGAACCCGGCAGATTCGCTGCATAGAATTGATGTATAGGGTTCTCCTAGAGTAACAGATATTCAAGTTGCATTTCTTCATGCAGCAGCAGACTTGTGGTAAATGACAGTGGTTTTCTGAAGTACTCCTAAACCCATGTGGCTATATTTAACAGCATGACGGTTTCTTATGCAATGCCATCTGAGGGCTCAAAGGTCAACCACATTCAACTAGGGGTGCTCCGATTGATCGGCCGATAATTACGTTGGGATGATTGATCAGCGGTCTCTAAAAAGGCAGATCTCAAAAAAACGATCTTGCTGATGATGACGCTGCTGTGAGAGGTTTGGCACAACATGCAGTCTCAGGCTCTGTCCGACGCGGGTGAAATAATTATAATGCTGAAGGTGAGGTACTTCATATTTCTTCATTAAATAACTTATAAAGTAATTTGAAAACCTTGTGTGACACGTAATTTCACAAACAGCGTGAGTGAATCACACGCGCACTCTTTCTCTCTCAAAATACGGCTTCAAATCACCACACATCGCGTCTGTCTATAAGTGAGCTACACGCTGCACAGTTGACAGGAATTGTCACTTGCACAATCGAGGCAGTGTCACATCGTCAATAAAGTTTATAAATTGCATTACTTTTTAAATTCTTGCCAGTGTTTAACCATTCAGCGCTCGAGCGCTCTCCTGGAGACCGTGCGCTCATGCCCACTCGCAGCGCACACACATAATGTCAGGTTCACATTACTCCATGTGCAGTGCGTGTGCGCTCATGTTAACAGATTAAAGCGTTCAACCTGCACACGGTTGCAGTCCGGCAGTGCGTTCAGGAGCGGTGCGTTTGCAGCAGTGCAGCGATCGTTTCCACACCGAGTCTATTGCTGCGCTGCAAGCGCTGAATTTAAGTAACAGAGCATTGTTTGCAGTAACTATGAACATGGATTGACACACAAATTTAGTAATTACACCATAAATGCATATTATAAAGTCTACGGTGTTTCACAGTCAACACATATGGCTTTTTGGCTAGGTTTAAAGGGATAGAGCACTTTTAGATAAGGCACTCGTGGAGGTAGGAAAACAAAGTTCTTTATGAACCGCAGGATTGCTTGTAATAAAATTTTAAATGCAAAAGGAAAGGCAGTAGAGCCGACTGTTTCTGTCAATGGAAAGTTTGTGATAACGACCACTTGTTTTGCCACTTGCTTGAGCAACTTAAGATATAAATCCTGAATTCCCCCCATTTTCAAAAATGTAATTCAGGCCCTGAATAAATGTCTAAAAATCCTGATTGAAGTATCACTATAAATAGTTATAAATGATAAAAAGAAGGCTTTAAAAAGATCAGTATCGGTGATCGGTATCGGCAGATACTGCTTTCAGTGATCAGCCTCAAAAATCCTGATCGGAGCACCCCTACATTCACCTGAGTTTTCCTGCCTTGTCCTAGATGTACTGTGATTTTTCTGGATTCCCTGAATCTTTTCACAATATTATGTATGGTACTTGGTGAAAGACCTAAATTCTTTGCAATTTTGCAGTGCGAAATGTGATTATTGATTTGTATGACACTTCTCTCGTCAAATTTGGCACAAAGTGATGAGCCATGATCCAGCTTTGCTTGCAAAGACTCAGATGCTCCTTTTATACCCAAACATACCTTGACCCATTACCAATTCACCTGCTTACTGTGAACGGATTCAAAACAGTTTAACGTGGATATTCTAAAACCTTTTCACTTTTATTTTGCCTCTGTCCCAACTTTTTTGGAATGTGTTGCAGCCGTCAAAAAGAAAATGTGTTCATATTTACAAAATACATTTATGTTGGTCAGTGAAAACTGGAAATCTTTTCTTTGTAATTTGGTCAATTAAATAAAAGTTAAAGAGGATTAACAAAATCACAGATTCTTGATTTTATTGCATTTTACAAAATGTCCCAATTTCTCTGGAATTGGGGTTGTAACAGTAGAATAATCATGACTGTTAGTAATAAGTGCAAATGTAAAAAAAAAAAAAAAAAAAGGGATGAAAAAAAAGCTGCTATTTTTTCCCAAACTGGTTAATAAAAATGAAAGACATCATCTTGATGGCAGTATATGTCTCTGTACAATCCCAATATATGCCTCCATGTCAATAATATCTTTGCACATATGCTGTTTGCTCAGCTGCACTCACATGTTTGCTTTTGCTTCTGTCGCTAATGAAAGTCTGGATTGTCACTTTAACCTTTGGGACCGAGAACTCGAAATCCATTTTTCCTGGAAACAAGTTGAAATGTGCACTCATCTGAGTACAGCACACATTTTCACTGTCTTTTTGACTATCTAAGATGAGTTCTGGCCCAGAGAACCCGGCAGATTCGCTGCATAGAATTGATGTATAGGGTTCTCCTAGAGTAACAGATATTCAAGTTGCATTTCTTCATGCAGCAGCAGACTTGTGGTAAATGACAGTGGTTTTCTGAAGTACTCCTAAACCCATGTGGCTATATTTAACAGCATGACGGTTTCTTATGCAATGCCATCTGAGGGCTCAAAGGTCAACCACATTCAACTAGGGGTGCTCCGATTGATCGGCCGATAATTACGTTGGGATGATTGATCAGCGGTCTCTAAAAAGGCAGATCTCAAAAAAACGATCTTGCTGATGATGACGCTGCTGTGAGAGGTTTGGCACAACATGCAGTCTCAGGCTCTGTCCGACGCGGGTGAAATAATTATAATGCTGAAGGTGAGGTACTTCATATTTCTTCATTAAATAACTTATAAAGTAATTTGAAAACCTTGTGTGACACGTAATTTCACAAACAGCGTGAGTGAATCACACGCGCACTCTTTCTCTCTCAAAATACGGCTTCAAATCACCACACATCGCGTCTGTCTATAAGTGAGCTACACGCTGCACAGTTGACAGGAATTGTCACTTGCACAATCGAGGCAGTGTCACATCGTCAATAAAGTTTATAAATTGCATTACTTTTTAAATTCTTGCCAGTGTTTAACCATTCAGCGCTCGAGCGCTCTCCTGGAGACCGTGCGCTCATGCCCACTCGCAGCGCACACACATAATGTCAGGTTCACATTACTCCATGTGCAGTGCGTGTGCGCTCATGTTAACAGATTAAAGCGTTCAACCTGCACACGGTTGCAGTCCGGCAGTGCGTTCAGGAGCGGTGCGTTTGCAGCAGTGCAGCGATCGTTTCCACACCGAGTCTATTGCTGCGCTGCAAGCGCTGAATTTAAGTAACAGAGCATTGTTTGCAGTAACTATGAACATGGATTGACACACAAATTTAGTAATTACACCATAAATGCATATTATAAAGTCTACGGTGTTTCACAGTCAACACATATGGCTTTTTGGCTAGGTTTAAAGGGATAGAGCACTTTTAGATAAGGCACTCGTGGAGGTAGGAAAACAAAGTTCTTTATGAACCGCAGGATTGCTTGTAATAAAATTTTAAATGCAAAAGGAAAGGCAGTAGAGCCGACTGTTTCTGTCAATGGAAAGTTTGTGATAACGACCACTTGTTTTGCCACTTGCTTGAGCAACTTAAGATATAAATCCTGAATTCCCCCCATTTTCAAAAATGTAATTCAGGCCCTGAATAAATGTCTAAAAATCCTGATTGAAGTATCACTATAAATAGTTATAAATGATAAAAAGAAGGCTTTAAAAAGATCAGTATCGGTGATCGGTATCGGCAGATACTGCTTTCAGTGATCAGCCTCAAAAATCCTGATCGGAGCACCCCTACATTCACCTGAGTTTTCCTGCCTTGTCCTAGATGTACTGTGATTTTTCTGGATTCCCTGAATCTTTTCACAATATTATGTATGGTACTTGGTGAAAGACCTAAATTCTTTGCAATTTTGCAGTGCGAAATGTGATTATTGATTTGTATGACACTTCTCTCGTCAAATTTGGCACAAAGTGATGAGCCATGATCCAGCTTTGCTTGCAAAGACTCAGATGCTCCTTTTATACCCAAACATACCTTGACCCATTACCAATTCACCTGCTTACTGTGAACGGATTCAAAACAGTTTAACGTGGATATTCTAAAACCTTTTCACTTTTATTTTGCCTCTGTCCCAACTTTTTTGGAATGTGTTGCAGCCGTCAAAAAGAAAATGTGTTCATATTTACAAAATACATTTATGTTGGTCAGTGAAAACTGGAAATCTTTTCTTTGTAATTTGGTCAATTAAATAAAAGTTAAAGAGGATTAACAAAATCACAGATTCTTGATTTTATTGCATTTTACAAAATGTCCCAATTTCTCTGGAATTGGGGTTGTAACAGTAGAATAATCATGACTGTTAGTAATAAGTGCAAATGTAAAAAAAAAAAAAAAAAAATTTTTTTTAGGATAATTTGTGGTTTGGTCTTAATGATTTAGGAGTCCTCTTTACTACTCCTAACCTTTCACAGATTTAGGAGCTAGTTTTAGCGCTAAAACGCTTTTATTTTTAAGAGTTTCTCCTAAATCAGCGAGTTAAGAGCTACTTATAATCTTATTTTGTTTTGTGAATACGACCCCAGATGTTTTCCCTAACAGTTCCCAAAACAACAAATCATGTTTGCATAAATAGACTACTTACATACTGTAATTCTGTGTATACTAGGGATGTGCATATCCATAACTGAGGCCGATGCAATACGCATCTCGATGCATAACCAACGATACGATACACTGAAGATGCATATGAAGCAGCTACCGATGCTATGCTATTCACCCCTATTACGCAGTGCGATTCAATTTTGATTCAATTTCGATTCAATTCAACACAATTCGATTCAATGCAATATGAAGCAATGGAAAAAATATGATCGCTTTTATTTCTTTGGTTCAGACAGACAGCAAATCATAAATTAACTTGTGTATCTTCTGACATCGAATGCCTCGAGGCCTGTTTCATAAAACAAGTTTACCAAACAGGCCAGGCTTATTTCAGTTAGTCTGACTCATTAAATGATGTGGTTCCATAATGCAAATTTAACATACAGTGGTGTGAAAAAGTGTTGGCCCCCCTCCTAATTTCTTACTTTTTTTGCATGTTTGTCACACTTTAATGTTTCAGATCATCACGGGAAGGGGGCCAACACTTTTTCACACCACTGTAGATCAACCTCAGTCACTGTTGCAACTTATGCTGGGAAACTAACTTGGTCCGGGGCAGGCTAACTGTCAGGCTAAGCTGCTCTCCTCTAACACTGAACAATAGGAGCATCTCTCAGCATACAATTATAGCCATGCAGCCTTTCTCTCTGGTTTTATGACAGCTGTACCTTTTATAGTTAGCAGAACAGATAGCAGAACATTAGAACATCACAATCTAATATTGACCTTTAAAGCATTAAAATCACTAAATTAAAACTACATTTTAACTGCTATAAGAAACACGCAATAACTCATCTGAGCTTAGTAATTAGGACTGTATTAGCTTACATTTTATTTACCCATTACAATAATCCCTTTACAGTTACTGCTATCATAAAAATAAACGTATATGTAGGTTTATAATTCAACAAAAGGCACATTTAATGTCCAACAACAAATATTTTATCAAAATGCATATTAATACATTTATTATAGCATTCACACAGTGTTCAAATTGGGATCTGTAATATTTTCTAATGTTTTAAAATAATGATCTTCTGCTCAGCAAGGCTGCATTTATTTGCATGCCTGACTCAAGAAGGGGGTCTCAAAAATGGCCACAAAATATTATTTTACTTATTAATTTTAAAGGGGTCCTATTATGCTTGTTCACTTTTTGAATTTTAGTCAGTGTGTAGTGTGTATGTTTGGGCATAAAAAAGATCTTCAAACTTACAAATCTCAAAGTCCACTCCAAAGGGAGATATTTCGGTTTTAAAAAAAATCCCTTTTCAAGAACTACAACGAACGGCTTTGTTTGGACTACAGCGTTTGTTTGTGTGATATCACAAAGTGGCCCATTAGAATATCATTAAAATAATTCCCGCCTACGGAAATTCGAATGGTTGGGGGGTGGTGAGGGGCGAGGTTGTGGTTAGAACGCTTGGTTGAGTGAGTGCATCAGACGAGACGATGAAGAAGTGCTGCTGTAGCCTCAAGTTTTCACAAGTTATTACACATGCACCTGAATAATTATGTAAATATGTATGTTACAATTATGAAAACATTTTTATAATAAATTGCAGACAGTACAATACTGGACAATGATGTAATCTGCAGAATTTACACTTCAATTATGAGACTACAGTGTTTCTCATACATTGAGTGTGGGTGTATTTATATCACTGTATTTCTGAAGGAAACCGACTGTTTTCAAAAAATTGGATGTCATTTTAATTTAATCTTGCATGTAATGTCTGATAAAGCAGAGTTTTTTTTGAGCGGAGCGCTGCTTTGTGTACAGCCGTTACTGGGGAAACCTTGATCTCTACCATTCCAACAGCACCTCCTGCTGGCAGAGAATGAGTTTGCATATATATGCCGCCTGGGAAACACTGGACTATGGTATAAATAAATTCAACCATATAACAGTTTCACTGCAATTCATGTTATAATGTTAGAATTACATAGTACAAATAATACATATGCACTTATCTGTACATAGTAAACGCAGTTATTTTTAAGCGGTTGTTGACATCCTATCTAAATCTTATCTAAAACCTATCTAAAAACGTGATTTAGCCAAAAAACAACAACAATAACGTTACCACTCTAATATGTCTTGCAATATCCGTGCGTGCAAAGGTTCTGCGCGATCCTCTTGTTCAATATTCTCTGGGTCTGAATCCGGCTCAAATTGATATGGCAATATTGACGCCATCCTTAACTAAACTTGCTGCTTTGGCAAGGGGCAGGGCAGTACTGAAACACCGTCTAAGCTGTTCGCCAATCACAACGCACTGGGATAGCTAACCAACCACATCACAGTTTGTTTTTCGGAAGGCAGCGTTCATCAAACCCAGAACTAATCGAGCCAAGGTATTGCAATAATGTAAATTATGTAAAAAATAATGCGTTTTTCGAACCATCAAGAATGAGAGCATGTTCTAGTAACACCCCCAAAACAAATTCAAGACATTGTAAAAGAGCATAATAGGACCCCTTTAAGTTAAATTGTGCTTTGTTGGTATAATGTCTGCTAGAATGTTAAAAAATGTTCAGTGTTAAATACATTTTTTTAAATCGTTGTTTTGTATTAGTGTACAATGTTTAAAAATAACACTTTTATTCCATGTAGTGTCCATTTCATTCAACATTTAATATTGGAGGCATCTAAGTTTTTTGACATATTTGAACATTAAAAAAAAAAAATTAACAATAGATACTTTCCCTGATAATTGTTACTTTTATAATGATGTAACCCAGTTACTCTCATGCTTGTCATGTGACACACAGCAGCCACGATAGCACTGTATAACTGATATGTGACCCTGGACCGCAAAACCAGTCTTAAGTCGCTTGGGTATATTTTTCATGCCATAAAATATTTTTAATATGGCTGACTTTGTATTTAATGTGAACTTAACAATATTATAAAAGTTACTAATTATAACACTTATTTTACAGAGAGCAAAGAACATTTTCATTCAGTCTAGCCAAAGTTCAGGCACTCACAAAAACTCCCATTAAAATCACTGAAGCTGTTGACAAAATCTGATTTCTTGATGATTTGATATTTTATAATAGTGATTTTATAATTTCAAAATATAGAGCAAAAAGTAGAAATGAATGACTAATAAGCTACCAAGTGCTCCTCTGCTGCTGTCTACTGGTTATAATTGTGAGCTGATGCATTTTTTTTTATTTTTACATAAGTGTTTGTTTACCACAAAGTATATTTTGGTCATCCCATTAAAAATAACATTCAAACCGGATCATTTTAGAGCTTTAAAGAGCTGGAAATAGTTGTGTGAAATGCTTGAAAGTCATTGAAAAGTGTTTGAATTTCTCTCTCAAAAGGTATTACAAACCCTGAAATGAATGATGTAATGCATTCGACTATTTCTACCACAACACCATGGTTACAGTTAGCAGTAGCGCTTCTGGTTTCCTGACGCATGTCAGCGCTGTTTATAACAGAGAATTCTGTGCAGAATTCAAACGCTTCTCACGGGATCTCGCAGCACTGTTACATCTGAGCAGTAACAGTATCGCGAAATCAACTTTGGCTCCCGAGTAAAGCTGTTCTGAGTTTGTTTGCCTTTTGGAAGCTGGAAGACAAAAGTTTGTTTGCGTCGCGGTCCGAGCTGATAAACGGTCCGCGTTGCGCAGCTGAAACGTTGCGCCGTTTAGTTTCGCTTTCGTTTGCCGTTTGATGTTTCTCAAATGCAACAGAAATGGCAGCGCTTATGAGTTGGACAACTCACAAAAATTAGTCGCACCGGCAGAAAAAATGGTCGCAAAATGAGACTATTTGGTCGCAATCTGGAGCGCTGGTTTAGCCCCTTTCACATAATACAATCTTCACTGGTAAATTGCCGTTAAGAGATCATGTGTGAATAGGACCTTTTCAAAACTACAGGTAAATTTGTTCTGCCAATCATATCGTTCTTATGGAGATGACGTAATTACTCTGAGCGGTTTACAAAGCTCTGTTAATTATATAGAAAATTGCTTTTCTATATAAATATGGCTCTAGATGGAAATCTTTGACCATTGCGCCTTGCAGCTTTTTCAGAATGTGTCGCACTCATCAGCTGCGACTCTGCAGTTGGATACTATTATGCGCCTCTCATGTTTATAGGACCAAAAATGTCTGATTGGCTAGTAATGTTAGTTTGGTTGAGAGTGAAACCTCACATACATTAGTAGGCGAACTCATTAACTCGAACTTGATATCAACAAGTTTTTTGATGGAGGACTATCTTATTTTCCCGCAGCTAAACGCCACATGTCGGAGAACTTTAAGCCCTGCTGATTAATCAAAAAAACAAAATAAACAGCCAACTAATCAATTATCAAAATAATCGTTAGTTGCAGATCGAATTTGGTTTTTAAATTGTATTTTTGCTAAAAATTCTAAAACTGTATCTTGTTTAACTCTGTTAAAAATCTCTTCAAAAGAGTTAGCAGAGAGAGAATAAATAAGGATACAAAAAATAAATAAAATTATTAAAAACCTGAATCATGCCAAGTGCTGGAAGAGAATTTTAAATGCTATACTATTAACAGGAACTACTGATTGGATTCAGGCATGAATTTTGTTCTGAAAGCAGGTGTCCTACCTTCTGCTTTTGGAGTGGCAGGGAATGTCATGTTTGAGACTGTTCTCCTCTATCTGTAATGTGTGGTTAAATGACCCATCCAGTTCCTGCACTGTCACTTTAATAGGGCCCTAACAAAAAACAAAAGCATGTGTAAGTTTTCAATATGCACATAATCATAGTCGGACCACTTAGAAGACTAGTTTAGCACTTTCACTACCTCTATGAAACTTTTTCTTTTATCCATCCATACATTCTCTCACACAATTTTCCATCTGATTTTCGCACTGCGGTCACTCACCACATATTTCTGTGTGCCAGATGATGTGTAGTCCTGACGGATCTCGAGTTCCAAAACATTTCTTTTCCTGTTGAAGGCAAAACTTCCAAAAAATTTTACCACCCCACTCTGGTCTCTGAGGTTGAGTCAAAGGTAATAATATATTAAACTACAATATGCTTGAGCTCAAACTTCCTAAATTAAGCGTAACAAATTTTGGTAACACTTTAGTTCAGGGACTAATTCTCATTATTAACTAGTTGCTTAATAGCATCCATATTACTAGAATATTGGCTGTTTATTAGTAACTATAAAGCATATATTAAAGGGGTAGTTCACTGAAAAACAAAAAATTTGCTGTTCATTTTCTCACCCTCAGGCCATCCAAAATGTAGTTGTTTTTTTTCTTGAGTAGAAACGTAAAGAAGATTTGAAACCATGAGCTGAAACCGTGGTCTTTTCATTCATAAAACAAGTCAGTGGCTGCCCATCTTGAAGAATAAAACAAGAAAAGCAGCGTAACAAAGAACACAAAATTAATACCCGTGGCACATCAGTGTTTCCCCTGCCATTATATTAGGGGGGCAGCCCGGCCCCAAACAGCACCCCCCTTGAAGGTCAAGTAAATTTTAGGCTACTTAATTTTATTCTCTCTATAGCGCCAGATCACAACAGAAGTTATTTGAAGTTACCTTTCCTATAAAACAGGTCTATACCTTGTTCTTTTATTAAACAAACTAAATAGCCTTGTGTTATTTATCTTATTTACACGACGGCATGTCATTTCTGTCTCTACGTTAATTGGTCGCACTCTGCATCGCGCACAGCGGAGTTCCGCCCCGATGCACGCACACAAGTGAGCACACTCCCACTAGTATTTGTAAATATTAAGATCACTTGCAAAATAATTTGGAACACAGTGTATGTGACGTTTCATACGGATTACATAATCTGAGAATATTTGTTTTCCAGTTCAATTGGTTCATGTGAGAGTAGCCATTTCACTCTCTAGAGATATATTTTTAATGTCTGTAAGGCAAAGATAGCCTATACACGGAGTTTCACACTCAAGTTCACAGAGACAGACTACAGAAAGCGCATCCTGTTTGCTTTCATTATTTTACAAAAGCACGTTCTGCTGTTATTGTGAGTGCACACAAATAAATGTAGAGTCCTTTGAAAGATGTATTACTCTTATCTGTATAACCAAAAGTGACTGGCGCCTCCATCTGTCATGCTCTGAGCGAGCGCGCAGCTGTTCAGCTTCCACGCTCTGCAGACACTTGAACAGCACACATTTCTCTAGGTTAACATTAGATTGAGTGGCCATGTAA